AAATATTCTCCACGACCCACACGTTGTGGCGGAGGTCTTTCATCGAGCAGTGGATTGACAACGAGGGGGCTGTGCACGCACAAAGGTGTGCCCGCACACGCAGTGCATCCACCGTCTTCACATCACGCAGCATCTATTGCGCGACAGCGCCTGAATTAACACTTGAAAGCGGCAATTATTTTATTGGTATTAAAATACACTAATTGCCGGTATTCTTACCTCTTTTTTCCCCCCTTTAAGGCAAAACATGGGAAAATACACTGGCTTGAAAATGACCGTGTTTATTTAATGAATGTGATGTAAGCATTACAAATCAGCCGTTGCTATGGCCTCTGCGGGTTTACATGTTGAAAGCAGGCAGGGGGCGCGCGGGGGGGATAAACGGAGCTCCCAACAAAGCCACAACGGAGCCCCCTAAACAATGCCTTGAGAGACAGCTGAATCGGCCGTAATTGCAGGCTCCTGAATCAAAAACTTTGCTCTGCCGCAATTTTCGGGGATCAGTTGCACAATGGTGCCTGCAATTACCCGGCCAACCGCCCGCCCGCCCGCCCGCAACACTCGCGGCCCACTGTCACTCGACCACGCGTGCAATTTTTTCAAATGACGCACTTACGGAACATTATTTTTGAAATGTTTTTTTTTCTCTCTCTCTCTCTCTCTTAAAGGGCTCCTTCGCCACATCGCTGGGCGCAGAAGGCGGCCGTCCGGCAAAGGACCGCGGCGGTGGGCGGTGGGGGAGAGGAGAGCGCGGGAAACGATCGGCTAAAGGTCCGAAACGTCGGAACGATCAGTGAAATTCTGGGGCGACATCTGTGAAAAAGAGCTTCATAGCTCATCGGATTCCTCCAGTATAAATACAGATTCTGATTCAGATTTGTGTCGTGTGACTGCTGCGCCCCCCTTTGCTCAACACGGGTGGTTATGGTCTAAACTGCCCACCGAGCTTTTATCATTGATATATTCAAGCCGGCGGGTACGCTGCGTCATTCCTCGTTAGCTCTTCTTGTCAAGATACAGAATCTGTATTTATACTGCAGGAGGAATCCGATGAAGCTCTTCACAGATGTTCAGCGGGTCGTGCGTCACACTCTGCCGATATCCGCGTAAATAAACACGGTGGGTTTTTTGTTTTGTTTTGCCCCATATGCTTCCAAAAGAGAATTAAAGAAAAATAACAACTGTTGACACAGCCGAATGGCCAGGAAATAAGGATCTAGCTTAATAATGCGATGCAAAAAGCATCGCATTACTCGGTCGTGATTAGCCATGGCTTTCCACGCAGAGGCCCTCCTGACCAAAAGGGCGATTTCTATTTATATTCCACTTTTGGGGGCAACTTTTTTTCTTTTCACGCCATCCCTTCCCAGTGCTTTCCCCGTGTCTATTACGAGGCGTTTGTGCAAAACGAACAAACAAGGCTTGCCAAATGAAAGTCAAATTGCCGTGTGGCACTCCACATATCATTGGCCAATTTGTGCGGTAATAGCATGTGGCATGCGGTGGCTATGGAGTGCAATGTCCCTCAAATTAACCGGTGGGATTGGAGAGACCTGCAGCCTTATCCTTTTTTTATGGCATCCTCTCTCCCTCTGCAAACTTTTGCCCGAAAACACCGCCGTCAAAACGGCTCCCACGAAAACCAAATCAATTTCAGTGGCGAAACGCAACGCGCCCTGTTCACATATCATATATATCACACACACACACGTCTATATATCAGTGTGGTGGCGTAGTCACATAAATGTGTTTGAGTGCCGAACACTTTCACTTCATACTTCCACGAGTAAGATTTGTTCAACAAATTTATATTTGTTCGCCTGTTGGCGTTCTCTGGTCTGACACGGCGAGTGAGACTATGCCATAAAGAAGGCTGACTCTGGTGTAGGCCAATCAGTTACAAAGACAATTGATATGTTACCAGAGCATGTTTGTTTGCATGTTCACAATACAACGTACTGTGTGTATAAGAATAGATTTGACCAGTTTCTGACAATAAAACAGGTGTTAAGATGTTAAAACACCAAACAACACATTCCTGCGGAGGGAGCTGGTAGGAACGTTGGGTTGCTCGGTCAATGGCCAGGGTTAACGGCGGCGTGGTGTATTCCGCAAATATGCCCGACCTGTGAGGGCGGGCACAAGCCGGCGTGAGTAGGTTAAACGTTGAGTTTTATAAGGGCACCACGGGGTGACCAGCCCCTCCCTACCCAGCCCCACCCTCCCCACCCAGCCCCACCCCTCCCACCCCCCACCCAGCCCCACCCTCCCCACCCAGCCCCTCACCACCTTCCCCACTCAGCCCCTCCCCATCCTCCCCTCCCCACCCTCCCCACCCAGCTCCTCCCCACCCTCCCCACCCAGCCCCTCCCCACCCTCCCCACCCAGCCCCTCCCCACCCTCCCCTCTCCACCCAGCCCCACCCCTCCCATTGTTGGATGCACGACGGACGGACGGACACAATAATCCCCTGTGGGCTGGTGGAACCAGGAGGTTCCTACCAGTATACACCTTTATATTGTGATACTGGCAAGGGAGGTCCCATTATGGAGCTGCTCACCCCGAGCTCTCAATGTCCTGATCGTGGCGTTGTCTTTGTGCTGGTCGCCTTTTAGAGTCCTCTAGTCAAACACTGTTTGAGAATAGGCTCTAGAGAAAGCGTATCTCTGGTGTGGACCAATCATTCTCAAAGACAATGCATATATATTCTTGGTTCTTTTGGTAAAGTCACGTAGAAGGGAAACAACAAAACAATATAAATATAAAACAATAAAAATTCTCACGACGTTTCGACTGCAACACAAGCAATCATCATCAGGTGTGAAATCCACAGCAAGAAATATTGAATAAAATATAAAACAATAAAAAATCCTCACGACGTTTCGACTGCAACACAATCAATCGTCATCATCAGGTGTGAAATCCACAGCAAGAAAATGTCACACCTGATGATGATTGCTTGTGTTGCAGTCGAAACGTCGTGAGAATTTTTATTGTTTTATATTCATATTGTTTTGTTGTTTCCCTTCTACATGACTTTACCAAAATAACCAATAACATGAATCCCTGCAGGCACGAAAGCTTTAAATAAAAAAATACAATGCATATACTACCAGATCATGTTTTTGGTTTGCATGTTCACCGCAAGTATATGTGGCTAATGCAGACATGATTCCTTGCAAAAGTGATCGATTTGGTGCTTGAACATCTTAACACCTGTTTTATTTCCAGAAAGAGTAAAACGTATTATTTGTTTCATATTCGTTCTCTTTTACACCCCTCTATTTGCCATCTGTCGTGTTGTTTCGGGACACATCACACGGCGTTTTAGCGACGAACTGCATAGAACAGAACGTCGGGCAGGAATCCGTGGAACTTTCGCGGTAAAACGAATACATAGAGGCTCTCGTGATTTCATCAACACTGACTTCACACGGAAATGTTGATTTGTTGTTTGTTCAGATGCACTGAGGGCGTGCGTGGTGGGCTTCTCTCTGTTCGCCTGTTGCTGTGTGACCCCCCCCCCCTACCCGTTCAGTTGTACTGTGCACCACCGATGCCTACTTTATCGAGGGATATATTGGCACGTAAAATGAATACTGATCGATTGTGTATATTTTGATTGACGATATACGGTGCTGTTTAGTTTGGTTTATAGCTTAAATCTATATATGTATAAAAGGGAAATTTACTGGTAGGAACCTCCTGGTTCCACCAGCCCACAGGGGATTATTGTGTCCGTCCGTCCGTCCGTCGTGCATCCAAAAATGGGAGGGGTGGGGCTGGGTGGGGAAGGGAGGGTGGGGAGGGGCTGGGTGGGGAGGGTGGGGCTTGGTGGGGAGGGGTGGGGCTGGGTGGGGAGGGGCTGGTCACCCCGTGGTGCCCTTATAAAACTCAACGTTTAACCTACTCACGCCGGCTTGGCCCGCCCTCTCAGTCGGGCATATTTGTGGAATACACCACGCCGCCGTTGACCCTGGCCATTGACCGAGCAACCCAACGTTCCTACCAGCTCCCTCCGCAGGAATGTGTTGTGAATATGTGTGTCTGTTCGAAATGTTTAGCATCCTTCCCAACATGCAACAAACTTGAAATTTGGCGTGTGGGTAGCTTCCAGACTGTACACAATGCAAAAAGTATAAAAATAGACTTTTGTATTAGGGGGGGGCGCAATAATGGATATATTTTGCACGGCAAGTGAGCGGGGACGTCACATCTGTGATGTCACCCGCATGCGGCAGCGTCACGCAGTGTGCCTGCTGACGTCACGCACCCCCCCCCCACCCTCCGCGTAGGCCGTGTGTTAATCCAAGACAAGAATCCAAGTCTCGGGTAGTAAAGCTAGTCGTGTATATGTATGCCGAAAAGAAATGACAATGATTCACCCCCTCTCCCGGCCTCAACCAAAATCCCGTGTGACGTCATGGATCCCTTGTCCTCACCACTCCCGCCTCTCTTGACGTCATCACTACCTCTCACACACCTCACCCCGTGTAGCGTGACGTCATCGCCCTTCTCTTCACAACCTCACCTCGACGTGGCGTGACGTCGATACTCCTCTCAACACCTCCCCCGCGTCTCTGTCATCACCCCCCCACCGCCCCAATCTCACGTGACGTCATGCCAGCGCGTTACAGACAGAGACAAAGTTCCACCGTGTAGCCTGTAACAGACTGTAGGGGCAAGTGCTGTTAACGAGTACCTATGAAGGCCGGAATGATATACGAGGGGTGGGTGGCTAGCACCACGCCCGACCGCCTTTGTCTCCCCAGTGGCGATGTTTTTACACACCGCACGAGGTTCTCATTTGAGGCTGAGTCGACCTAGGGGAGGTCCCATGACCGGTTCCAACAATCGTCACCGGTGTCGGTGGCCGTGAGCGAGAATCGAACTCGGGTCGCAGAGTTCGTAGCGCAGCTGTGCCACCGCTTCACACACACGCGCGCTTGCGCGCACGCAGGAACACGCGTCTGACGATCTGGATGAGATATTGTTGTTACCAGCGCTGAATGGCCTTGCTTCTCCCGCAGTGGCCTTGCCGACGACGGCTGTCCCCGGCCGCCGCTGCCTTGCGACGTCTCCGTTTGTGCCGCCGAGCGTCTGCGGCGTTCGAAAGGACACAATTTCGACACGTGGTCGCTGGCATTTTGTCCTCTCATTAAGACGTCTCCCGCCACGGGGGATAAACAGCGCTTCGTGCACATCAATTAAACCGCTGAGAAATAAAAAAAGACAAAGTACAAAGTGCAGATGTTGTCCATCTGCATCGTTCTCTTTTTGTTTTGCTTCTTCAATCTGCGTTGCATTTACAAGGGCGAGGTGCGCGATGCATTTTCATCAGCGTAACAAGGTAATTGCCGTGCAATTATCACTCGGTTGATCAAAGGGCAATTCGTGGCTTGAAGAAAAAAGGAATGATTTGTCGAACGCAGCACGATGAATGAGGTGGGGTGGGGGGCATAGCGGAGCCTCGGTGGTTTACGCGCTGCGCAACGATCCCCGCCAACTTGAAATTCGCCCTCGCCGGCCACGGCTCACATCAGTGGCGAGTTTATATCTGAACCGCTCCATGGGTCTGCCCTCTGCACCGCCAACCTGCGTTGACCAACGCGGTGAAGTATGGTCAGAGGGCCTCGGTAACCGACACGAGAGTGAGCAGGCCCTCATCCAGCAGTGGATTGACAAAAAGAGAGGTAAATTGTTATGAATGAACGATGACATGATCTGAAAAGTGGCACGCGCGCGCCTATGAATTAAAGCGTTGACGGTGTGGAACAACAACAGTGTGGATGCCTCGCGGCAGAGACTGAGAATCTGTTTGTCGTCTCCGACCAAAAAGATGTGACACACTTGCCAAAAAAAAGGCTTTGAAGCGGTGGCAAAATGTCCATTTGACAAAAAAAAACCGACACGCAATGAAAGCCTGATGGGAGCGCTTTCCAAAACAAAGTACTCTTATCGCACGAAGGAGCCACCGTTACACAACATCGTACCCCGAGACTGCGGTCTATTTTGTCAAAAAAGATCACGTGACCTTTTTGTTAGATCGGTTTGGTTGCCCGTGTGCCTTTCTATTTTGCTTTTTTTTGCTGTAAAGAGAAACAACAACATGCCAACTTAGAAACGTGGGGATATAATCCATGTCCGTTCCCATTACCCTGCCATTTATCAAAAGCGATCTGGGGAAATGTTAAAAGTGGATCCCTTCACGGTCACGCTAAAATGTAAAATCCTCTTTTGGTCATCCTTAGTTCACTGGCCGTCACGTGAAATGTTTTGTGGGTTTAAGTGATGCGAGTTGACGGTATATGGCGGAGGGCTAGCCTGGTCATGGCTGGAGAGGCTAAGAATCCGTATATTTTGTCCCACGATCCATTTTAGCAAGTGGTAGAACGAGCCGCTTGCAATCGGGAAGCTGTGAGTTTCAAATACCGGTTGGGGGTTTTACTCAGCCTATAATCCCTCTGGGATCAATAACAAGTATAACCCGTAAAAACAAAGTTTTTCACTATAAATCCTTTATATGCGTGGCGGCTAGAGTCCTCTCGTCCTCTGGCTTGAGATGGCTGCCACCTATGGGTCAGATGATTGCATGGCAGCATTAAGCAATTGGTAATTAAATAAAATATTTTTGTCCTATAAAGTGTAAAATTTTGGAAAAAATTTTTCACGAAAATTAATTGTCACGCACAACGAGTCTGTGTAGAAAATGTCAGCTCAATTGGATCACGGGAAGTGGGTTAAAAAACGACCGAAAGATTTGCACGGTCCTAAGCAAGCAAGCAAGTGAACTTAATATAAAGGATTTAAACAAGTATAACCCGTAAAAACAAAGTTTTTCACTCTAAATCCTTTATATGCGTGGCGGCTAGAGTCATCTCGTCCTCTGGCTTGAGATGGCTGCCACCTATGGGTCAGATGATTGTCTGTCAGTATTAAGCAATTGGTAATTAAATATTTAATTTGTTTTCCCTAAACAGTGTAAAATTTTTGCATTTTTTTTTCACGAACATTAATTGTCTCGCACAACGAGTCTGTGTGCAAAATGTCAGCTCGATTGGATCACGGGAAGTGGGTTAAAAAACGACCGAAAGGTTTGCACTGTCGTAAGCAAGCACGCAAGCAAGCAAGCGAACTTAATATAAAGGATTTAAAAAGCACCAATTTATCGGAAAATTAATCACAGGTATCTTGTGACAGAATCGCCGCCTGACATAGGAATGTGGCATTTCCATCAACGGGCTCAGGACAGCAAGCGGGAGATGAGTCACCGCCTCGACACACACATGAGCAGTAAAACCGCTTGATCGATCTTGCGCTGACATGACAACAGTGAATATAATACAATGAGGCTTAATTAAGTGAACCCCCCCCCCCTCAGCGAGTTGATTTTGTATGTTAGCATAGGCATCGTGTTTTCCAGAAATACCCAGGATGTAATGCTTGGCCAGTACCTGCTGAAGTAGTTTGAACGCGGTGTTGGGTGGTTCGCGTGGGGTCCATCCACACAGCGCCGTTTGTTCTGCGAGCTGAAAAAACAAAGTTCACAACCTGGTCGGCTTGCACGAGCAACACAAAAAAAAAAAACCTTCTTGGTGCTTGAAAAAACAAATCTCGCAAACATTTATTTTATTAATTTGCTTGTTATTACATTCATATCCGCCCCGTTTCTTGTTCTTGTCCGCGTGCCCGCGTGTTTTACGCTGCACAAGAGGCGCGTGTATTTCATGTCCAGTAACAACAGAGGGCCACGTAATTTATGCAACAAAAAAACACAAACATCTACCGCGGTATGTTACTAAATGAGCATCGGCGAGTAAATACAGAATACGCTTAATGGATCCTTGTTTTTTCCTGATGTCATTTTCAAGGAACAGCTGTTCCTGCTAACCTTAATGTGTCAACACGTCCTGCATGGAATTCCATAAATGTCAGCGTCGCATTTAATAGAAGCGAGGGAAGCACAACTGTTCGTGCACCGCACTATGGATCCGAGTTCATTACCCGGCCACGGCTATAATGCTGGCGACCGATGCCTGAACTGTTGCTGAGCACCGCCTTCACCACTCTGCACTGATTTATTTTGAAGTATGGTCAAACAACCCCTATGACTGGCACGGGGAAGCCTCCTCCAGCAGTGGAGTGACACAGGGCTGCACACGTGCCACAGAGTAGAACGATTCTTGCAGCAATTGCCATGGGCTATTAAATTATTAATGATCTTGAATGGGATTCTGCCATAGAAGAACCATTCAGTAGCATGCCATTGAATTGAATAGAGATGCTATACACACTATTTAAATGAATGGATGTTATGTGGACAATTAATAGGTTAGACATACTCATTCATTTCAATGGAAATGTCTGTTATCTACAATAAAAGTAATGGGATTCTTTAACATCCTAAGGATCGTCCAACATAATGCCATTTAGTTTAAACACATTCCTGCGGAGGGAGCTGGTAGGAACGTTGGGTTGCTCGGTCAATGGCCAGGGTCAACGGCGGCGTGGTGTATTCCGCAAATATGCCCGACTGTGAGGGCGGGCACAAGCCGGCGTGAGTAGGTTAAACGTTGAGTTTTATAAGGGCACCACGGGGTGACCAGCACCTCCCCACCCCTCCCAGCCCCCACCCAGCCCTACCCTCCCCACCCATCCTCTCCCCACCCAGCCTCTCCCCACCCTCCCCTCCCCACCCAGCCCCTCCCCACCCTCCCTTCCCCACCCAGCCCCTCCCTAAACGACGGACACAATAATCCCCTGTGGGCTGGTGTAACCAGGAGGTTCCTACCAGTATCATCTATCCATAACCACAATGGCTGTGGCGGCACTGCTGATTCTTCAGTCTTCAACTCCCTCTACTTTTGCCTGTCCGTCAGTCAGTCCTTATCAGTTGCTGTGCCGATTTATCAGTCCACCTTATCAAAAACCCATTCAGTTGAATAGAGCCATACTATTGACTATACTCTTTGGTTCTTTCGGTAAGGTCACGTAGGTATAAAAATAAAATAAAATAATCACGTTTCGGGCACAACACAAGCGTCCGTCATCAGGTGGGAAAGCATGGTCTGCTGCTGATGCAGACTGTTTTAATGGATTTATTTTATTTTTATACCTACGTGACTTTACCGAAAGAACCAAAGAGAATGGATTCCTGCAGTCACGAAAGCTTCAAATCAAGATTAATACTATTGACTGTTCCGAAAAGTAAGTGGGACGTATTACTATCAAGGGATCATGATGATGATCGATGGAAGAGGCTGGTAATGGAATGCCAGCCCAGACAGGGAACATTCCCCGGAGGACAGTCACTGGGGAGATGGAGCCATGCAATCAGCACACGCGCAAGAGAACGATGGTTCGTGACACCAGGAGACCGTGTGGGATCCTGTGAGATGTCGATAGTGTCTGCTGATGATCAAGTTGGTCTTGAAGGCTTATATAAATAATAAAGACGTGTATGTGCAATAACGGGAACACTGAAATGTACCATGCGTTAGGTGAACGCAATTTTACTGTGCGTCACTGTGTGCTACGCAGATACACAATAATTTACGAATCATTTGTATTACATGAGCATCTTTGTACTTGTGTCCAAATTCTAGATTTGAAGCTTTCGTGAATGCAAGGATTCATACTCTTAGGTTTTTTTCGGTAAAGTCACGTAGGTAAAAAAATAATAGAAAAATACCTTGTGTCCAAAGACAATCATCCGAGTTCATGCTCAGTACTCCTTACGGGGTGTCATCATGTGCACGCGCATACAATTTATTAATTAACAGAAAATGTGCTTAGTCGCATGTTGTGTTGTCTTAAGCCCCCCCCAACCACCTGTGCAGACAGTGACCAACACCGATAAACACTTATCCGTCATGGATTCCCAAGAAATTGTTCGTCTCAAAACAAACCTCATTGACACACCACGACAGATCGGAGCATGGTGGCAGCAAAAACACAAATGTACTCAGCCCGAGCTCTGGGTGCTCTGATACGTGCATTGTCTTTGTGCTCTTCACCTCTTGACGTTCTCTGGTTTGACACTGGCAGTGAGACTAGGCCACTAAGAAGGCTGTCCGTAGTGTAGGCCAATCCGTTCCAAAGACAATGCATAGATGATCAGAATTCGTTTGCATGTTCACTACAAGTACCGTGTGTAGTTGATGCAGACTCGATTCCTTGCAAAGGGTAAAGCCTACTCTTATTTTGCATGCATTATAATTGTGACAGCAATGTGGGGGGACAAGACAATACTGAGTCAAACATCAATCGTTCGTGTGTAGAATAGTTGCGTTATTTGGAGGACACGTGCAACACCTTGATGTACAATTCGCTAGGATGGGAAATACGAGACTGACTTGACTTTCTCCATCGACCGACTGTGCCCCTCCCCCCTACCTACAAACAGAAGCTTAAGGATTTCCAAAAAGAGTTCGGTAATATTTCGATTGGGTGAGAAGGGAAAATACAATCCTGTGAAGAATAGCAACAGCGAGAAAACTCGTATTAATTTTAAAAGGCCAGAGTGGTAAAGCGGTGGCCGGGTGGGGTGGCTTAAGATATCAGAATGCCAAGGTGGTATCGCGGATACCCTGGGTTTGATTCTGGGCAACTGCACACGGTGAGAGCCAGGTTCTCAAGTGTCAGTTGAGGGATCTAAGCCCGGCCACCAATGACTGTACCACACAAACAACAACAACAACAACAACAAAAACCCCATCGCATTACATTTTTGGTTCTCAATTTAATTCGCCTAAATTCCAGCTCTGGAAATCAAAAGCATCGGTTCGACGGTCGTGTGACGAGCATCACTCCTCGTGTGACACGGCATGTGTGGGAAGTGCTCCTCCCTATTGTGCGGACCAGAGGTCACTTGATCTAAGAAGTAGTTCTGTGATGTATCTTTCCACATACCGTTCTCTGACATGGAGACGGGGGGGGGGGGGAGTGCACGCACTGGTCTGCAAAAGTTCAAAATTAATGATACCTCCGATAAGTACGGTTGGCTACGTATGGAAGGAAAGAAGTTGAACATATATACTTTGTCTCATGACATGACCCAGATTGCACAATCAGAATAACATGTGGTGACAAGACTTTTGATTTATATACTTTCATCAAACTTACGTCCCTCTCCGATGAGTGAAAGGAGGCACACATCTCCTGAATACAGTACCTAGGCTAGATGTGGACATTCCACATTCCCTGGGCAGGGCTGAGTAAATTCATAGGACAAGCCCTGCAAGCTCATTGTAGATGTTGAATTTTGCACGCAGTTAGTATTCTATACATAGGCACATTTGAATTATACTGGTACGAACCTCCTGGTTACACCAGCCCACAGGGGATTATTGTGTCCGTCCGTCCGTCATGCAGGAAGGGGCTGGGTGGGGAGGGAGGGGCTGGGTTGGGAGGGGAGGGGCTGGGTGGGGAGAGTGGGGCTGGGTGGGGAGGGGAGGGTGGGGAGGGGCTGGGTGGGGAGGACGGGGAGGGGCTGGGTGGGGAGGGTGGGGTGGGGCTGGGTGGGGAGGGGTGGAGCTGGGTGGGGAGGGGCTGCTCACCCCGTGGTGCCCTTATAAAACTCAACGTTTAACATACTCATGCCGGCTTGTGCCCGCCCTCACAGTGGGGCATATTTGTGGAATACACCACGCCGCCGTTGACCCTGGCCATTGACCGAGCAACCCAACGTTCCTACCAGCTCCGTCCGCAGGGATGTGTTTTAGGCATTTATTCAAAGAACTTGGATGACTGCATCAATTTCCATTGAGTCAATTGCCTTTTCATAGTCTGCAAAGGCTACAAGAATAATAACAATATTTAATATCAACTGGTGAGTTAAACTAATGTTCTGCCTGCATTTTCCAACAGCGTGTCCAGATCCTGGCACCAGTGAGCCACAACTGTGTGCTGTTGGTGTCATGTCTTGAAAATGAACGATGGTACATTCATAACTCTTGATGAATAAATGTACAAAATTAATGCACGTGCATTCATAATTCTTGTTGCAGAGAACAGCCTAAACCCACGACATCACGAACCAAAGTCATCTTAATCCACGCTAATGGTACACCTTTATTCTTATTCTCATGTCACTCAAACCCACTAGTTAATTATCAGAGCTGGAATACGCCAAATTGAGTGGAATACAAAATTAATTAATCTTGTGTGTGTGTGTGTGCCAGTCTATGGTGACTGGGCTAAGACCATAAAATCACCACACTCGAGAAGACAATTTTTTTCATCTGTCTTTCATCTGTCTTCTTATTTTATTGTTTTATTTGTATTATTTTATTATTTCCTACCGAAAGAACCAAGAATATGAATCCCTGCAGTCACGAAAGCTTTAAATCGAATTTTTTTCATCTGCTTTTATTTGACCAGGTATGGCTCACCGAGCTATGCGGTTCTTTTTCAGAAGCGACGTGGCCACAAATGACACCTCAACGAAGTGGCGTATCATGTGGACATTTATAGCAGCCAAATACTCTAAATGTGTGATGTTGCTTCTAAATGTGTAGGGAAAAACCGGAGGACCTGGAGAATAATCAACGTGACCACGAGGAGAGAGACACGCAAACTCCAAATATTCAGGCATCGTCAGGGTCGGGATCAAACCCATGACCTCCTGTATACCAGGTGAGGTAGTTAACATCTCTCCATCACAGTGCCCCTCACATGTAGCTGCCAGGATTGGAACCCATGATAGTAGCAGAGCTGGCTTAGCGCTCTGATGTGTACTGGCTTCCTTGGCAAGTATATTCCTAGGTTTTTTTCGGTAAAGTCACGTAGGTAAAACATGTAAATTAATGAAGGTAAAATAAAAATAATAAAAAAATCACGACGTTTCGGAGGCAACACAAGCTTCCGTCTTCAGGTGGAACCGTCACAGCACGATAGCTGTATCAAGTAACTTGATACAGCTATCGTGCTGTGACGGAAGCTTGTGTTGCCTCCGAAACGTCGTGATTTTTATTTTATTTTTATTTTACTTTTATTAATTTTAATTTTAATTTTTTACCTACGTGACTTTACCGAAAAAACCTAAGAATATGAATCCTTGCAGTCACGAAGGCATCAAATCTAGAATTCCTGGGCAAGGTTTCTAAGCTTCCAAAGCACCATGGAGGTTGGCCTTAACGAAGGGCCCAAAGGCTTTTGACCAAAATGTTGTTCTCAGTGTATCACAGGGAAGGATTGTACCACTGACTCCACATCACCGACCTCTGCCAGAACTTCCCTTGGCAAAAAGAATGGGAAAAAATAAAGCGACAAAGCTGTTGAACGGAGCTCCCGTCTGACTCCAATTCCAAACGGCTCACATGGCGGAGCCTCAACAGACTCAAGAGAGTGGCTTTTGGCAGATGCAACTCTCTCATGAAATCATGGGTGGGGTGTGGGAGTATTCCACACAACCCCGACACCAATGTGTGCTTGTCTGGAGAAGCAAACCATGGATCATCTCCTGAGATGCCCTGCAGCAACCGCAATGCGCTCCTCAAGACTTGGCAATGCCGCCACCGCAAGCGGTGGCCTGTGCAGAATTTTCGGGAACGACCGTCTAGAGGTTGAATATGAGACGCGATGAAGAAGACAATAGTGGTGTCTGCGTTCGTGGTAATTTCGTCAAAACCTTTGGGCCCTCATCACGACCAACCCTCACAAGCACCTTGCCATCTTGAACTGCCCATGGATTTAATCCCACTAAAACCAGAATTTGCGGGGAATTGAGCTACAGCGTTTGACCTTGGTCAAAGAAGGTTCTCGCAAATGTACGCCCCCACACCTTGTCATCTGGGTCCTTGTCTCCTGTCAACACCGCCGTCGTCAAAAGGGAGTTGATGTCGCTCATGTCTTCCTCCGACACCATGTTGCTCCTTTTGCCGAGGAATGTGTTTGCCGGTGCGGACGCCGGAGAATCCATTGGGCTCGGTGCAGACAGCTGACAAAGACACGGCAAAGGCAGAAAAGCAATGAAGGTGTAACTACGACATCAAGTAAGAATTATCATGCGAGTGCATAGATTACGTCGTGGAATGCATCTGCCTTGGGTAGTATTTAAATGAGCGATACTAATGGTAGTGCTTGCGCCAGGGCGCGCACAGCAAGTAGTACGCTCGTACTCTGTGGTTCTTTCGTTAAAGTCACGTGGGTATAAAATAAATTAAATCACGACGTTTCGGGCGCAACACAAGCGTCCGTCATCAGGTGGGACAACCACAGCAAGAAACAGTTGCTGAAGTGGGCAAAAGGGCTGCTGTACCAAGAGGCCATATAGGTAAGAGAGGGGGGAGGAGCAAGGGGGGAGAGATAGAGAGGGGGGGTGTAATACCTGATGACAGACGCTTGTGTTGCGCCCAAAACGTCGTGATTTAATTTATTTCATTTTATACCTACGTGACTTTACCGAAAGAACCAAAGAGTATGGATCCCTGCAGTCACGAAAACTTCAAATCTAGATTAGTACACTCGTAGCCCATGAAGAAACCACGGGGCTCGCATCGCAGCTCTGCCCGGTGAGGGCGCGCCTCGGGCAGTCGGTCTGGGATGCCGAGGCAGGTACTCTCAGCGCCGACGATCAGCACGGTTGGCTACGTACGGTGCAAAAGAAGTTCAACATACACACGTTGCAGCACTGGTTTGTGCCCCCGTGTTTTGATCAATTTGTCCCGTATTCAATGGTTTCCATCTCTATTGGCAACGCACATATACTCCAGTTTAACCTATATTGGAACGTGTATTTTTTTTTAAGTTAACATGCCAACCCTGTTACGGATAGATAGACAGATGGATAGACAGACGGAGGTATGAAATACAATAATCCATAAACACTTTCAAGCTTTGTTGAAAAGCGTAAAAATGATACCGTTAAGTACACAGCATCTTGTTCCAGAGCTCAGCGGAGGCTGCTACTTGTATTATGTATCATAGCGATCAGACAGAGTTAATAAAAGCAACACATTTGTCTCCACAGGCCTTGTGTTAAACTCTGGTTACAACTTATTGGTGTTACGTACCAGCAGTTCAACAGTGAACACTGGATTTGACACGGCACATACACGACGGAAATCGCAAAACAAGTGGTGCATAGCAACAAAACACACTGCTGTCTCAAGGAAATGTTTGAACTGGGGTAAGTATGATTTACAATTGTGGCTAACCTTAAGAAAAGAAAACATTCCAGATTCAGAAATCACTGATTCAATCTGAGGAACAACATTTCATTACAAGGTTGGACGTTTTAAGAGAAGGACTGAAGCAATATTATTCCACGTTTTGTTCCGATTCCATTTATAAAGAAAAACCTCATTAATTCTCAAGACTTTTTTTGTTGCAGGAAGATCTTGGATGCATATGTTTGGCCAATTCCTTTAAAAAAATAATGTTGTGCGTGTGGGAGGAAACCGGAGGAGCCGAATGAAACCCATCCGTATGACAAGATGACACGCAAACATCTGCACAGATTAGGTTTCCAAACCCACTTGCCATACTACTGCCTCGCGGCCAGCTCGTTTGCTTGGCAGGTATGGAAGTATATTATTGGTTCTTTCGGTAAAGTCACGTAGAAGGGAAATAAAACAATAAAAAATATAGAAAACAATAAAATTCTCACGACGTTTCGACTGCACCACAACCAATCATCATCAGGTGTGAAATCCAACTGATGTGGATTTAATAATTTTATTATTTTATTATTTCCCTTCTACGTGACTTTACCGAAAGAACCAAGAATATGAATCCCTGCAGTCACGAAAGCTTTAAATCGAAAGCTATGGAAGTGTCACAACTTTGTGTGATCCACCAAACCTTGCCTCCAAAGTTCAGGGCGCACCCAAATAGAAGCAATTTTTATTTATAATTTTGGTGAAAGTGAGTGGGCAAAACTAAAAAAGTTCAAATCTGGACACACGGAATCATTGCTTCCACCGCTGGGTGAAAACTCACTGCGTGTCGTTTGCGGTTTGCATTGTGCGAGTCGGGTTTGTGTTCGTCCAATGAAACCAATTCTCCAGATACGGAACGATCTCACAAGTGCAGAATGCCAAGTCTTGCTCACGTAAATAATAATAATAATCTCTGTTTTATAAAGCGCTTTTCATATTGAAGTATCTCAAAGCGCTGTACATGAAAGTAAAACTCCACGCACGAGTACAGATACAATCTAAGCGAAATAGAAACTTTTAATAACAATATCAATGGCTACACTCGAAGTTGAAATAAAATGAGGAACCGGGATAAAAGCAAATAATAATAAACTAATGGACCGAGGAAAGGGATTCCACAATCGTGGAGACTGGCAGCAGAAGGCTCCGTCTCCATTAGAACATCAACATCAACAACAACACAGTCTTGTCTTAGGAACGATTTTTTCTGGATTTTTCTGTTTGCACATAGTCACTTTAAGATGTTTTCTTGTTCATGTTTTGTTTTTTGTTTGTTGCGGTTGCACCCGATTCAAGAGCCGAATGGCTCACAGGGCTATACCAAATGAATGAAACTGTAATGAAATAAAATGAAAAAAACTGAGCAGACCAGAAGCAGCTGATGTAAGTTTTTCGCAGCGGTGTCTATGACGCTTGAGCAGATCGGCGGCGAGATATTTAAGCGCTGGCCCATTCAAGCAGAATCCTGAAGTCGACTCTGCTCTTTACAGGGAGCCAGCGCAGGGACGACACAATCGGAGTAGTACGGTCACACGATCTAGATCTGGATAAACCACGGAAAGATGAGTTTTGAATCTATTGTAATATATTTAAAACACTTCTCGAAATGCTAAAAACTATTTGTATTTTTATTCTTGGTTCTTTCGGTAAAGGCACGTAAAGGGAAATAATAAAATAATATAAATATAAAACAATAAAAATTCTCACGACGTTTCTTGCTGTGGATTTCACACCTGATGATGATTGCTTGTGTTGCAGTCGAAACGTCGTGAGAATTTTTATTGTTTTGTATTTATATTATTTTATTATTTCCCTTATACGTGACTTTACCGAAAGAACCAAGAATATGAATCCCTGCAGTCACGAAAGCTTTAAATCAAAATGCGTTTGTATTTGACCATGTGTAGTGTAATAGCGCCGGCTGTGGTGGATAGACAGCGCGCACGCCGGTGAGCGTGAGCACGGTGTGTGTTGGCAGAGCGGAGGAACTAGGGCAAGGGTCACGGAGGACACCGTCTGGAGGCCCGTGGAACCTGCTAGCGGGTTCGAGAAGGGAGGCGCGGTCAGGGCGGAGCCAGGCCGTGCTGGGAGCATAAAAGGAGCCGGGAGCGGGGGGCTCGAGGCTGCCGGTTCTGGGAGTGGACTCGTCTCGTCGTCGCTGTCGTCTCATCGCCGTCGTCGCTAAACGTCTCTGCTAGACACTGCACTACGAAGGAGAGCCGTTGGCTATCTCAGTTAGCGCCGTCAGTGTTAGACGGCTGGTGTTGTGTACAGGCTGGGCTGAGCTACTGTGGAGAGTGTGAGGACGAGACCGTGGAAGTTGTTTAGTAAAGAAGGTGCCTCCTACAAATCTTGCCTCCGTCTCACTGACACTACGCATGTGTAAGGCCCCACTGAGCTATGCAGCTCATTTTCAGAAGCGACTTGGACATAAATGATAGTTCAGCGAAGTGGCTTATCACGTGGAAATTTATAGCAGTCAACTACTCTAAACGCGTGTTGATTCTAAACGTGGAGAGAAAAAGCAGAGGACTCGAATACAAATCCACGCGACCACGGGGAGAACATGCAAACTCCAAATATACAGGCATCAGGGTCGGGATAGAACCCACGACCTCCTGTATACCAGGTGAGGTAGTTAACATTTGCCACCGTGGTGCCCCATGATATCTCATAGCATGAGAGAACACATTCAATAAAACTGATCCACGTTCGGGGTTTTAATAACATCCAGCGGGGGTGGGGGAGGGGGTTATTTCCTGGTTGGGGGTTAACTCAGCCCCATCATCCCAACAGTGGTTGACCGATGGAGAGACTCGCCCTCGCCATAGGAATGTGGAAATTATGTCACTGGCTAAGGGCAGTAAACTGTAGATAAGCTATTTAAATGATTTCAAGCTATTTAAATGATTTTGCTGCTATAAATATCCACATGATAAGCCACTTTGTTGAGCTATCAGTTAATTCCTCAGTGGGCTTTGCCTGGTAGGATGAGGATGGTTTAGTTTCATTTGTTTGGGTGATTAGTTTACCTTTCTTTTACTGTGCACTACAATCGCCTTTTGTATTGTTTGTTGTTGTAACGTTCTTACTCGCCCCTACGGGACATCTGTGAAAAAGAGCTTTATCGCCCATCAGATTCCTCCAGAATAAATAAATATTACGATTCTGACGAGTGCTCGTTTGAGCAGGAAATCACTTGGACTTTTCATTCACCAACCCTCGCCCCCAAGGTGCCGTATCACAGGCGGCGTGCATCGCCATCCGCCGGCTCAACGCAACCACGGTACCGCGTGAGCGGCGAGAGACGTGTGCGGCTCCTGTGACGACTTGTCGCTTGAGCTGGCACTGCCTGTGGCGAAGGCAGTGGTGGTGGCGGCGGCAGCGGTGGTGGCAGTGGTGGTGGCAGCCGGCTGAGAGAGAGGACGGTGGGGCCGGGCTGTTGAACCGCGCCATGGAACTCCGAGCGATGGCGATCGTAGCCTTGCATGCTCCTGCATTTGTTCGTCCAGGTATGCCGTCCTGTGTGGATAGCATCATCATCGCCAGTTTAATACGTAGGCTTTCGCGACCAATATCCATAATATTCGGGGGGTTTTTTGGGTAGATCGCGTAAATATACATTTGTTGTTAAATCCGCCACCACCCGACACAGACAACAATTAGTAAGGTTTGTTACGTAGACAAAACGTGCCATTTCGTTACTAGTTCAGCACAACGGGGTGTTGGAGAGTAAAGCCAATTAAACTTGTAATTAATTATATTGACGCGATCTAGCCAACGATCAATCCACTGTCGGATGAATTCTTCCCCAAGTCGTCGGCATGGACACGTGTGCGCAAATCGAGGTGGCGTCATACAGCTCCCCCACAACGCGCCTCTTGCATGTAGGTCATCCACCTTGTAGTTTATAAAATCAGGTAACCGATAGATGGGAATATCTATCTATGATTAAATAACCGTCAAGGAAATAGCTGGGTGACTCAGGGGTTGGACAGGCTCGGGATAAAAGCGGAGGAAAGTACAATGGGAAAAAGCCAATAGCCAAAGTGATATCCTCCAAAAATAAGTGTGTGGCGACACTTATTTTCGTTAAACAGCTCTGAGCCGGTGGTTTAAATGCTGTATCCCTATGACAAAGGCCAGTTTATTGATCGTAGTGAGATTTGAACTTGCAACGTGAGTGGCCTGCTCCAATTGCTGGTGCCATCTCACCAGATTAGTAATGTGTCATATACATTCTTGATTTGAAGCTGTCGTGACTGCAAGAATCTATACTCTTTGGTTCTTTCGGTAAAGTCACGTAGGTATGACGCTTGTGTTGCGCCCGAAACGTCGTGATTTATTTTATTTTATTTGACGCCTACGTGACTTTACCGAAAGAACCAAAGAGTATGTAATATACATGTTAAACCATACCACTATGGACTAATGGAAATATTCTTTTTTCCGTCCTCCTTCTTATAACTGAAGACTGAAAAACAGTGCAAGGATGAGAACACACACACACACAAAATCTGCAAAAGTTCCCACTTTCCAAACAGTTTTTTCTTTGTGGACAGGGCGTGACCTGATCTGAAGAGAGGTCAAACACATCTAATGAAGAGTTACGAACAGGTCAGGGGCCACTGCCTCATTGTCATCTGCGAGTCACACGGTGATGGATGTTGAGAACATTCCAGATAGTTTTCAACAGTGTGCATCGAGACAAGATGAAACTAGAATTTTCTTTTTTACCAGCTACGCCCCCACTGAGCAAGATAGCTCTTTTTCAGAAGCGATCTGGCCATAAATGATAGCCTAACGAAGTGGCTAATCACGTGGTAATTTATGGCAGCCAAATAGTCTAAATGCGTGATGTTGATTCTAAATTTGGAGGGGAAAACCGGAGGACCCGGAGAAAAATCCACGCAACCATGGGGTGAGAGACATTGCAAACTCCAAATATACAGGCATCGTCAGGGTCGGGATCGAACCCATGCCCTCCCGTTTACCAGGCGTGGTAGTTAACATCTCGAGAGAGGAATTGCCTGACACAAGGTGATGCACTACTGGCAACACGAATATTTTCTGAAAAACATTTATAAAATATGGATATATATATTAACCATCACATCAAAGTTTAAATAGCCATTTCACACACAAACCGTATGCACGTACGACTTCAAACCAAACAGGAATACACATTTTTCGGGTGCAAAATACCGGAGTTGCAAAGAAAACGAAATAACACGAGATAAATAATTCAACAGGCGCGAACAATTTAAATGTACGAAAGGACGTGGCAAAAATAAAGCCCTGGGAATAATTCCCCCGTTTCACTGTTTGCATGTAAAATCTAATCAGGATTCATGTAATCTGCAGTAGTGTACCTATCTGGCTTAACAGTAGCAACGGGGAGAGAAATGCACCCTGCCAAAGACTGAAGGACTTGGGCTCAGCTGGTAGATGGGCTTCATTGAGTGGTCCTAATGTGCCGTTTCTCATTCATCTTCGCTTTATTCCACCCGCACAAAGGCCTTCTTTCAGCTTTGCGTATATCACTAACAGAAATGATTCTGATTTGCGGACATGTTTTAAAATTGAAGGAGAATGATGAATATTAAATACGTGTGCGCACACACGCGTGTGTGTGCGCGCGCGTGTGTGCACGTATCAACATCATCACACATCATCATCAGCATCAGAAAGCATCATTCTATCATTATCAGCAGCAGCAGCAATATCACTCTATTCATAATCAAATATTATCACATCATCAGCAACATCACTCAGAATGCACGGGAGTAGTCAAAAATGTTTTCCGGAGTTTGAAACATATGCATTCATGCTGATTACATTCGATTGCAATATCCTCAAACATCAACATTATACCACTGTAATTGTCTTCATACAACACACGAACGAGACTTCCTCATGAGTCCAACTCTGTGTGTGCTGTGACTTTATTTCAGAATTTCCTTTGCACAACTGTATCAACGCTCTCCTCCCACGTATTGTTGGAAAGCACCACCTCTACAGAACTCAATAAACTGTTTGCATGTTTGCGCACAGTTAACATTTCAGAAATTATACGTTATATATATGAGTTGCAGAAAAATTAAGAGCACATAAATTGGCGAGCAAATCAGAGGCATCGCATTGACCATTCAGAATGGTAAGTTGCTTTACAAAGGAGAGTGCAAGAGGGTTTATATGTATTTATGTTAAACTTCTTTCGAACCGTATGTAGCCAAGCGTGCTCATCGGAGCTATGGAGGAAAGTCAACAAACTTAACACAAAAACCAGTTCTAAAGAAATACGTTTTCAATATAGGTGATGTAAAAGTGCATAGCTCCAATGGCTTTCTAATATCGGAAGGAAGAGCGTTCCAGACGGCCGCAGAAGCGTATCTGAAAGTGCACGATGCAGTGACCGTCTTTGTTCGATGGTTAACCAAAAAGTTTGATGGCTAGCACCTCGGGAGAGACCACCGATATAATGTCACGTGGACACAACCTCAACAGCCTCATGTTGCATCGTTCCAATAACTTAGATTTAAAAGTGCTTAGCTCCAGTGGCTTCCTCGTTCATATATACATTCAGAATGGTAAGTTGATTGGGGAAAGGACACATCGTAAGAAGAGTTTACTGCCGATGGACAAGACTGGTGACAGAACGCGAGCCAAGGGAGTGAATGAGCGTTAAAGAGCGACTCCTGTGGAGAAGGAGCGGTGAGATCTGTCCGTGTGTAGGAGTGGGATGGATTATCGGAACCTCAGGACTGTAGGAGATGGGAAAACCTTCGTCCAGTGGACCGACAAAAACTGATGATTGTGTTCATTACATAAATTCAGCATTGCATGCAATACTATTTAATTGCAATATCTTGAAGAAAGGGGCGGCGTGCGATACAAAAAAAGGAGTGAATGTAGCCCTGATGGAACAAACAAAAACCCCAAAAGAACAAATTATTAAACATGGATTCAAACTACAAACAATCCAGTACAATCTACTGGGAATCAAGAGCTATTGACATTTCCTGATGAAAAAGTCACGGCAGTAATTTTCAGTAATTACCTAAATGGAGCTGCTTCTGTTCAATGTACTTTATCTTTGGAGAGGGCAGTCGATCGACCACGCGTAGTTTGTTTTACCTTCCCCCTTAGTCGTTCTGCTCAAGCTCAAGTAGCGGCGGCTATCACAGTCTGTTCTCCTATAACGCGCATTGTTTTCATGACGAGAATTGCATACAACGTGATGAATGTGTGAGGGAACGCATCTTTTATAATGCGGAATGCGAATTGGATGAAACGCGATCGAGACAACAAAACTACGTCGCGCGAGTAGGAATGAGCGGTCGTACGGCAGCCTCGGCGTAGCGTCACCGCACAAGGCAGTGGGATGCTGCTGGATACTTCTAGATGCTACCCACGCGCCTCAGGCTTTGTTCGGGCCACGTACGCATCTCACGTGTGACTGTGCTTTACCCGATATTATATAATGGTTATTGTAACGCGATTTTCCCCAACGCGGTGTTCTTCAGGAACGCAGCTACCGCCGCGTTGTAGAATACAGACCGCATCTGTGAGGTTACAGGAATGTGTTTTCCCTGACATGTTGGCCCAGCGAGCGTATTTCGCGCAGATGTTCGTGACGCGCGGGGTTTTTTTTCTTTCTTCCGCAATGCGATGATGATGAACTAAGCCGAGGCCATTTCGCCGCGACGTTGTATTTACTTAAACTTTCCCATCGAGGCTGAACCCACCGAAATAAACATGGCGAACGTCAAAAGAACATTAGTCAGGTTTAAAAAAAAACACAAACAGGGCACTCCGCGCCCATCCACAAGAGGTAGAAATCACCATAATTCAGCTCTGGGGTTAACAAAAACACGGCGCCCCTCCGACGTATTTGTCATTGTCTTCATACACGTAATGACATGATAGAGATAAAGGTGCAGCCCTGAAATAGCTTGCTCGTGCCAATGCTGGGGAAGGGCTTCAGCTAAAGGGTGGAAAGTTTGCGAGTGAAGGGATCCCACATCAAGAGGGTACGTGGCCTACTCTTTCACGCACGACAGATGTGAATTAAACTAAAATTACTAAACTTTTTTTTTTCCAGGTAAAACCCACTGAGCGAAATCGCTCATTTTCAGAAGCGACCTGGCCACAAATGATAGCTCAACGAAGTGGCCCATCACGTGGAAATGTATCGCAGCCAAATACTCTAAAAGCAAGATTCTAAATGTGGAGGGGAAAACCGGAGGACCCGGAGAAAAATCCACGCAACCACGGGTAGATAGACATGCAAACTCCAAATATACAGCAGGTGTCAGAGTCAGGATCGAACCCACGATCTCCTGTAAACCAGGCGAGGGAGTGAACATCTCGCCACCGCGGCACCCTTTAGAAGTGGTCGGAATAGCCACACTCAATCCCACCAACACGTGACCTGCGGTTTAGATTTTACAGGTGAACCCATTTATACTGCCACGCGGACGGAGGCAGTGCGGTTTAAGAAACACACCCATTACTTCAATGGTCACGGCGGGAGATCAAATGGAACCGGTGACCTCTGGATTGCAAATCCAGTGGGCTGACCATTACATCACTGAATAATAATGATATGCCCTGGGACAAATATATTATTGAGCGAATATGAATGCGCGCACACAAATGGCATACATCAAATAGCGGCGTATAATTACGATACTCGGAATACTGTATAATTTATGCTCGATTAAAGTTGGCGCATCCTGTGGATACGGGCTCCCTACCTTTGGATAAGGCGCTTTGTTGATTCGCGCGTGGAATTATTGTCCTCTTTTTCCGATCCGGTTGCTTTCCACGGTGAAATATGCTGCGCAGAGAGCAGGAAAAGTTGCGCTATAAATGCGGTAACATGTTAGATTTCAGTAGTAGATCAAACCGCCGACTAAACCACCCGCAAAAAAAGTAAGAAAACACAACCATTGAAACCATAGCAATCCCCACAATTTGTTATTATTAAGTTGTTTGCCTTTGCAATCTTGCAGGCGATACACTCATGGGAAGTTTGGCAGTAATATTGGGTGCATTGTATTTTAATTCTAGTAAATGATTTTAAATGTAGCGGTAACTCCTTTGCTCATAATAATGAACGCGTCCACCTGTGTACGTCCCTTAATGGACAACAACATATCGCTGTATAGGCTGCCAGTCTGCCCTAATGCTTTTAAAAGCATTCATCACATCTGTCAGTTCAGCATTAAAAACTTGACCTAGGTCCAAGGAAAGTTTTGATATATGCTTTTGAAAAGCATCACATAAAGAACCCACATGTGGGTTGTTTTACTTAACGGGCATTTTAAAAAAAAGTTTGCGCGTAAGTGCATTCGCTCATGTTTAAGGCCACGTGTACAGTGATATTTAAATTCGTTATAATCGCACTGCAGTGATCAGAGAGAGAGTAATCATCTACGATGGTTGCACCACATATTGCAGCCACTTTCCTGCACCACTGTATGCATAAAGTGCCACATTTTAAGATACATTTCAAGGCTCCAATAATAATAATAATTGACATTTGTAAGGCGCATTTCATCCGAGATCCCGATTGATCCCAAGTTATGGAAAGCGAATTTAAAGCAACAAATACCCTGTGGAATTTTACTGATGCTACAGATACAACGCTTCTACCACATTCAATCAATACAAAGTGCATTTATACAGCGTCTAAAGCAGCGTTCTTTACGAATTTTCAGAGAGGGGGGGGGGGCACTGTCGCCGATAAGACATCATCAGTGTGAGGGCCGCCACACATTTGAAACCATTGTGGGTTTGACAGCAGCACGATGACGATAATGATGATGGGAGGTGTTGTTACTCTTTGTATATTGTCGGGGGCCGCACGAAAAGCCACCAGGGACCGCCGGTGGCCACGCGATGGCCTTGCAATGAAGAACACCGCTCTAGGAACAGTGGGCACAATTTATAATTACGGAGAGACTAAATTTTGATTTGAAGCTTTAGTGACTGCAGGGATTCATCTTCTTGGTTCTTTCGGTAAAGTCACGTAGAATGGAAATAATAATATAATAAAAATAAAACATAATAAAATAATTCTCATGACGTTTCGGCCACAACGCAAGCAGCCGTCCTCAGGTGAAGAACAGGTCTGTCGATAAGACACATTCAGACGCTGTCTTCTCGACAGAACCGTTCTTCACCTGAGGACGGCTGCTTGCGTTGTGACCGAAACGTCGTGAGAATTATTTTATTATGTTTTATTTTTATTATTTTATTAATTCCATTCTACGGAGAGACTGCCAATCATAAAAGAGGGTGTCGAGTGGAGATTTTAATAGAGGCAGGGAGTTGGCAGCATGCACTTCTGTCGGTAGGAAGTTCCAGACTATGGGGGCAGCAGATGAGAACGTGACTTCCCACTGAGTGAAATCATCAGTGAGGGCTATGGACACATCTGCAGATGGTATCCCTGTGAATGCACAGCTATCATTCATATAGAGCATTGCTGGACGTGCTGCACTCTGCTCAGGGTAAACCAGGCAGCTTGCGATGGCTTCCTCTGGCTGGGATCTTGTAACATCGCCTGGTAAGGTGATGGATGGAACCTCCAGCTTTGAAACGTCTCTTCGAAGGACGGCTCGATTTCGAGAATTGCCTTGCAATACGTGTGGATGCAGGCCTGGGTCAGTCACGCTTACTTAACATGAACATATGGTCATCCCCGCGCAGAACAGCTTTCAAACCGCCTTATTATATACCTTTGTATCTTATTCATCTGTGAATAAAACCGACGCGAACGTTCGCCACACCCGGTGTTATCGCCGCGGAGCGTACAATTACTGTCGAACCCCGCGCTTTGTCCGTGGCCCACAATCTGCCTGCGCCACACTGCGCGGAATGAAAATAACGGTCATTAGGCTATCCCCCTCACGTGGATTGGCGACATAACAGGGCAGCAGGAGAGGCTGAAGAATCTGGGGTCATGTTTTAAATTCGCATTTACTGTCAGGCCGCCTGAAATTGATGGGTGCTAACCTCACTCCCCCATAATATTAGCGGCAGCACAATGACAGCTCGTTGAACTTCATTCGCGCCCTACATAGCCAACCGTGCTAATCGGAAGTGCGGCGGCGGGAGGGGGGGTGGGCGGCAGGTGTGGGGTCAGTGGCTTATCCTGGTTGGCATAGGCTTTGGAGCGAGGAGTTAAATGGGCCTCCCTGTCAAATGTCGCCCGGTATCTGGACCCCTGCAGCCTGTGTGGGCTGTGGTGCAATCGCTCCATTCTGTCGGTAGCCCCTTCGCGGGGCAGTCACATGGGCCCAGCGGCAGCGCGTTTTGCCACTCGTAGCAGAGGTTCGCCCCCGGTGAACACTGGGGCATTATTTCAGCGTGAAATACACGCACCGCCTGCTTCAGATGCCGTCACGTCGTTTGGAAATGAGTGGGACGTGTGCCGGCGACGTGGTCCAAATTTGATCAAATGCTAACAAATTATTGAATTAGGAAGTCACAAGCCAACCTCACCCCCCCCCCCCCCACTCCTGCAGGTCTAATGGCCATTTGCTCGCCGGTTTCTGTGCTCACTGTTTTTGTGCCACACAGGGACAGCTGCCACCAAGGGTTCCCTGCTGCACGACTCAAGTTCAAGTTCATTTATTAGGTATAGCCCTGTGAGCCATTCGGCTCTTGAATCGGGTGCAACCGCAACAAACAAAAAATAAAAACATGAACAAGAAAAGATCTTAAAGTGACTATGTGCAAACAGAAAATCTAAGAAAAGACAGCAAAATATTGCAAAAAAAGCACCCTACAACAACACTGTGTGCAAAAATCCCACTGGGATGCAAGTCAAACAACAACAACCACAAGACTCATCGAGATATACCGCATGGGAGGCACGTATCGAGTAGTTGGTTGCTGTTGCAAATTTCCACGCAATAAGCCACTTCATCGAGTGGTGAATGAAGACTCGGAGGCAGATTTCCAGGTAAGGGCTTGCGCCGATTTATTAACAAAGAAGACGGTAACTAAACAACCAGGGGTATAGGTGTCCTACACTCGGTCCTTCCCGTGAACCCTCGGCTCCATCTATGCCTAGCCTCGGCTAAGCAGAAGCTTTCTCAAGACGCTCACCACCCCGGGCCCCCACAACGACCCCGCCTTTCGTCACGGGGTCCCCCCAGAGGTCGCAACCGGGTACCCGATATCCGCACCCTACCCGATACCCGGCTACCCGTACCCGGCCGGGTACGGGTACCCGTTTGCAACCCTGGTGCGGCCGGGTACGGGTACGGGTAGGCCGTGAGTCACTGGTGAGTAACCGTTTATCACTAATTTCAGGTAGGGTACGGGTGCGGCCGGGTACGGGTAAGGAATCAAAACCCGTTTGCGACCTCTGGGTCCCCCTGAAGTTCCTCAGGTGACATGACTTCATCGCGCCTCGCTGCGCGCATGACGTCACGTCGCCAAAAGACTCCTCGACAGAGCTATAATTTGCCCACTTCAGGAATTGTTTCTTGCTGCAGTTGTCCCACCTGGTGACGGACGCTTGTGTTGCGCCCGAAACGTCGTGATTTATTATTTTATTTCTATTATGATTTCTATAAATTTTATTATTTATTTTTATTATTTATTTGTACCTACGTGACTTTACCGAAAAAAAAAAAGAGTATGACTATAATTTGTGGCCAGGTCGCTTTTGAAAAAGAGGTTTCTAGCTCAGTGGGCCATTAAAAAAAAAGTTTAGTTTTACCGGCGACGCAACAACCCCTTCTACGCGTGAACTGACTTCATCGCTCAATCTGCTCGGTGGACGTCCACTTGGACACGTTCCAAATCGGCCTCATGCAACCAAATTTGTCTGAACCGATCTTGATTCGAAGCTTTCGTGACCGCAGGAATCCATACTCTTTGGTTCTTTCGGAAAAGTCACGTGGGTAGAAATAAATTCATTAAATTGTCTGAACCGTTCACGTAAAGTCGCATTTTTTTTATAGTTGAGTTTAGTTTAAATATCAAGCGATAATAATGATTATATTGGCGGTGAAAGGTGATTTCATTTGCAAAGTGCGCCCTCCAACCTAGCGCGCGTCGACTAACCACGCTGCTCTATTCGCACTCGCAACACCAGCCAGCCATCCTCTTGCCTGCTTGCCTGCCTGCATGGACACGTGGAAACATTTCTCCGTGCCCTCCCCCCTCCAAGTTGCTTTCTTGACGTGGAATGGGAGAATATCTTGACGCATCGTGTAGCAGGATAAACGAAAAAGTGAGACAGCGAGTGAGCGAGAGAGGGAGCGAGAAAGCCACGTGAGGCTTTTAGGAACTGGCACGCAAGCCTAGAGCGATTGACCACCCCCCCCCCCTCCTCCCGTTGGCATCTGTTCAATGTTGAAGGAGCTCTGTGGAAACAGACTCTGTGTGTGTCCCGGTGTCATTAGCCAATCAATCACCGGCTATATGGCCCCCAACGCAAACAGACTGCTTTCAATACGCTGCCCTGTATGCATAAAGATAGTGTGTGTGTCCTTGCGGGCAGGCTGCATTTGCTTTGCGAGACGTATAACGGGACGAGGGCAGACGCTGCTGTAACTGTGCAAAAATGCACAGCGATGCGTGTGTGTGGTACAAAGCACTCGGGCCCGTTATGTAAGACGACAACTGACTAATCCTCGCTAAGAGCGTCATCTTGGGATGTACATGGCTCCCAGCATTGTACAGTGTGCCCCTTGGTGCTTCGCCTCCAGTGCAGCGGCTGAGATTAGGGGTGTTACTAGCCAAGGGATTTAGATGTGAAGTCAAGTAAGCTGCCCCATGGTGCAACAACAACCCAGCGTATCCCACTCTGTGTTC